TCAGCAAAACTAGTCTTCAAAACTGAAAGAGAAATAAAGACCTTCTTAGACAAGCAAAATCTTAGGAAATTTATTGTTACCATACTTGTCTTACACAAAATGCTTAAGGGAGTGTTACAACCAAAACGGAAAGGATAGTAACTACTATCATGAAAACATGTGAAAGTATAAAGCTCACCAGTAAAGTTCACAAACTCAGAATAGCTTGTGCTGTAATGAGCCATGTAAATCTTTTATTCTTCTAGTATCATGGTTTAAAGTCAAAATGGTCAAAAACAATAACTATAATTAGTGGCTAATGGACCCACAGTAGATAAAGATGTAAATGAAGGCAACAAAAATATAAATTGTAGAGTGTGAGAAAGAAAATTTATATGGCATTTTTATATGGCCAGTTAATGTCTTATTAATTAAAAATAGTCTACTGTAACTACAAGACTCTTTTAGCTTCATGGTAAGTATAAAGAAAAAAATTACAACAAATACACAAATAAGAAAGAAAATAAAGCTTAGTGTGACAACCGCCAAACCACAGACAAAAACAGTAAGAGAGGAAAAGTGGAATAAGTAATCTATGAAAGAACCAGAAAAAAATTAACAAAAGGGTAGGAATATGTTTTTACTGATCAATAATAACATTGAACTTCTTCAATTAAAAGATATAGATTGGCTGAATGGATAAAATAAGATACAATTATATGCTGCTTGCAGGAGACTGACTTTACCATTGAAGATACACATAGACTGAAAGTAAAGGGATTGAAAAAGATATTCCAAATAAATGGAAACCAAAAGTGAGCAGGACTAACAATGCTTACATTAGACAAAATAGACTTTAAGTCAAAAACTGTAAAAAAGACAGAATAATGGGAGGAGAAACCATATGATCATCTTACTGATGTGGACAAAGCATTTGACAAAATGCAGCACACTTTCATAATAAAAACACTCAAAAAACTAAGATAAAAGGAAATTTTGTCAATGTAATAAAGGCCATATAGGAAAGGCCCACAATTAACATCATATTCAACAGTTAAAACTAAAAGCTATTCCTCTAAGATGAGAAACAAGGCAAGAATGTCTACTTTCATGACTTTTGTTCAATATAGTACTAGAAGTTCTATCTAAAACAATTAGGCAAGGAAATGAAATTAAAGACATCCAAATTGGAAAGGAAAAAGCAAAATTATCTCTGTTTATAGTTGTAATAATCTTATTTATAGACAATACTAAAGATCCCACAAAGTATTAAAATTAATAAATTCAGCAAAGTTGAAGGATACAAAATCAACATGAAAAATATTGTTTTTATACACTAAAGATTAAAAATTTACAAAGGAAATTGAGAAAACAATTGTTGTTTACAATAGTATCACAAAGAATAAATTTTCTAGGAATAAACAAGCCAAGAAGGTGAAAGACTTGTAAACTACAGACTACAAAATATTGATCAAATAAATGAAAGATGCAAATAAATACCATGAACTGTTCATGAATTAGAATAGTTACCATTGTTAAAATATCCATACTACCGAAAGCAATCTGCAGTTTCAATGCAATTCCTATCAAAATCCCAAAGGCAACTTTTTCTTAGAAATAGAATAAAATTCCTAAAATTCATATGGAATTCCAAGAACCCCAAACAGCCAATACAATCTTGAGAAAGAAAAACAAAGCTAGAGTTCTCACTTTCTGGTTTCGAAACATATCATAAAGCTACAGGAGCAAAAACGTGATACTGCTATAAAGGCTGACATATAGACCAATGGAACAGAATAGAGAGCCCAGAAATAAACCCACACATATATGGTCAATTGATCTTTGAAAAGGATGCCAAGGTTACACAATGTGAAAAGGATAGTCTCTTTTTTACATGGTGTCAGGAAACCAAGATATCTACATATGAAAGAATGAAGTTGAACCCTTACTTTACATCATGTACAAAAATTAACTCAAAATGGATTAAAAACCCAAATATGACCGGGCTGGGTGGCTCACCCCTGTAACCCCAGCACTTTGAGAGGCCTAGGCGGCAGATCACAAGGTCAAGAAATCCAGACCATCCTGGCTAACACAGTGAAACCCCATTTCTACTAAAAATATAAAAAATTAGCCAGGTGTGGTGGCATGTGCCTGTAGCCCCAGCTACTCGGGAGGCTGAGGCACGAGAATCGCTTGAACCCAAGAGGCAGAGGTTGCAGAGAGCTGAGATCAGGCCACTGTACTCCAGTCTGGGTGACAGAGTGAGACTCCATCTCAAAAAAAAAAAAAAAAAAAGAAAGAAAGAAA